GCCAATGTTGGATCAGGCCAATGGCCCATCCAGCCCAACACTCTGTCACACAGTGGCCAAAAGTACCAGGTGCCATCAGGAGGTCCATCAGTGGGGCCAGGACACTAGGAGCTCTCCATGTGGGGATGGGAGTATGGAGAGATTAAGCCACGTAATTTTTGATTGTAAAAGCTATGAGCAGATTTGGGAGTCATTGGTAGTACCAGTATTTCTAGTTTCCCAGGGAAGATTCCCCTTTGGCGGTTTTCTCATTCACCAGCCCGCATCCCATACAGGGTCTGGTGGGTAGATTAGCTGTTCAAGAGTTTCCTAGGTCCTAGGGTTGCCTAGGGCGTCCTTCATTTATATTTGTGAACTTTATGTTGCTATTATATATAGCTATTTTTCTCTCATGGAAATGTTCGCTGATAGAAACAGTGATGTCACCTTCAAAATTGCTAAGTATGGTTGGATGGCAATGAAGCTGAGGAAAATATGGATAAGGCATGCTAGTTAATATTTTAGAGATGGTTTTATTAGTGATTCAAGTTATATCACTTCATATTTTAGGTTACAAGTGGTTTATGTATTGTACAAATATTATATTTATATATAGGAACCGAAATGTTTTAAGTTCTGGGTATAATTGTGTTTGAGGAGTTGCGATGGCTCAAATGGTTAAGACGCTGAGCTGCAGGCTGTGGAAGGTCAGTAGTTCAGTAGTTCGAGATCCGAGTATGCCGCATGACGGAGTGAGCTCCCATCTCTAGTTCCAGCTCCTGCCAACCTAGCAGTTCGAAAGCAAGAAATTGCAAGTAGATAAATAGGTACCGCTTCGGTGGGAAGGTAACAGCGTTCCGTGCGCCTTGGTGTTTAGTCATGCCAGCCACATACCCTAGAGTCGGACTCGACTGGCTTTCGAGCGAGGGAACCTTTACCTTTACTATAAGTGTGTTTTACCTGTATTACTGTGTACCGGTCAATGACTGTAATAATAAATTTACTTACTAGACCACCAGGGAAGTCCAGGGCCAGGGCACAGTGGCAGGCCAGGGCAAACCACCTCCGAACGTCTCTTGCCTGCAGGGCCCCCATAAATTGGCTGCAATTTGATGCCACTTTCTACCACCCACCAATAAACGAAAGCCAGCTGCCCACCGCAAAGGAACAGATCCAAAGCATTGATTGTCCACAGTTAGATCCGGGGCTCTTTTTGTAGCAGGTACTCCTTTGCATATTAAGCGACACACCCCTAATGTAGCCAGTCCTCCAAGAGCTTACAGTAGCCCCTGTAAGAATAGCTCTGTGAGCTCTTGGAGGATTGGCTACATTAGGGGGGGTGGCCTAATATGCAAAGGAGTTCCTGCTACAAAAAGAGCCCTGAATTTTAGTGCAGGGAGTTGTCCCTTACCATTCAGCTCATCTAAGTATTCAGCCTTCCTGTATCTCTTCAAGGCTCCTTTTTGGCAGGAAGAGGACATTATCAACCTCTGTGCAGCCTCGTGCCTCCCCTTCCCTCAACAAGCCCATGCGTGCACCACGGTGGTGCTTTCCCATTGCGTCAGAATCTAAAAGCAGTTCTTCTGTATTGCAGATCTGGGTGAACGAAGAGACGAAGCTGGTGTACTTCCAGGGCACCAAGGACACGCCTCTGGAACATCACCTCTACGTAGTCAGCTACGAGACTCCCGGGGAGATCGTACGGCTCACCACCTTGGGTTTCTCTCACAGCTGTTCCATGAGCCAGGTCTGTCCTTTCCTCCAGAGCCATAATTCCGCTACCAGGAAACTCCAAGCCTTGAGACCTCTTTTAAAAAATCCAAAAAAACTGTTGAACCCCCCCCTTCCCCCCATGACGAGATAATGTACATAAAGTGCTCTTGGGGTGCCTGTACAGTGCTTTAGAAGGTTCGCTTATTTTTATTATTGTTAGGACTTCATAGGGGGGGGGAACCCAACAGTAGTTTTCTTGTGGAATCGTGAGGACTAAAAATTTTCCGTCCCCGTAACTCATGCATTATCCAGGACTGCTTATGGTGTTATCAGTGTAGGGGGGACTTCATAGATTAACATAAAACCAATGAACTAATGTGGAGTAGGACCAATGGAAAAGTCCCAATGTGGCGAGCAAGTTTTCCAGTTTCCTGTGACCTCTTCTGCAGCCTAGAGGTTAGTCAGCGCTGTGTGCAAAGCAAGGATATTATAAGAACATAAGAGAAGCCCTGTTGTGTCAGGCCAGTGGCCCCTCCAGTCCAACACTCTGTGTCACACAGTGGGCAAAACGCAGGTGCCATCAGGAGGTCCTCCACCAGGGCCAAGAACTCCAGATGCCCTCCCGCTGTTGCCCCCCAAGCACCAAGAATACAGAACACCACTTGCCCCAGACAGAGTGTTCCATCTATACCTTGTGGCTAATAGCCACTCATGGACCTCTGCTCCAGATGCCTCTCCAGTCCCCTCTTCAAGCTGTCAGATGGGACACAAGGTTTGCTGGAACAGAAGAGCAAGCAGTGGCCGCCCAGAACCCTCCCAAAACAGAAAAGCCAGCAGTAGTTCAACTCTGCTTCCAGTGCAAGCAGACGGGTCCCTTGTAAGGGGTAGAGCAAAAGGGGCACAACTGTTGTAGTGGCAAATCTGGAGGTGATTTTGGTGCTGTACAGGGAAGTGGGCATTTAAACAACATTCCATCATTAGGTGGTAGGAGGTGGCCCTTTAGAGCCAGAGTGGTCATGGTGATCAGAAGGCTGGGTTAAGATCCGTGAGACCACACCCCCATGAAGCTTGCTGGGTGAGCGTGGACCAGTTGCTCTCTTTGTCTCTTAACCCGGCTGACTTCCTAGGGCTCTTGGGGATAAAAAGGGGGAAAGGAGAACCACATGAGGTGTCTTGAGCTCCTTGGAGGAAAGGTGGGATTAAAAAAAGGCCTTCAGTACATGTTGAAAAGAGCAGGAGTCCAGGCGCACCTTAAAGACCACCCAAAATCTGTGGCAGGGGGTGAGCTTTCGTGAGTCACCGCTCACTTCGTCAGTATCTGCTGCAGACAGACTAACATGGCTGCCCCTCTTGAGCTGTCTCCACAGTAGATGATGAGTAAGGGGGAGGGGCTGTGGCTCAGTGTTAGAACGTCCGCTTGCGTGCTGAAGGTCTCAGCTGAAATCCCTGCCACCTCTCCCGTTGACAGTAGGTGGTGGGAAAGACCTCTGCTTGAAACCATGGAGAGCTGCTGCCAGTCTGACTAGGCGGTATTGGCCTTGACGGTCCGGTGATCTGTCGGTCTGATGGTCTGTCCGGTATAAGGCAGCTTCACGTGTTCATCCCTCCAACTTGAAAGCATCTTCCGTTGGAGGAAGAGCCAGTTAAGGGAGAAGAAGGCTCCTTAAGGGAAGGTTAGATCCACTCCAGTGGCTCCAGGAAAGAAACACTTGGGGTGGAGTGACAACCTCCCCCACCGCCACTAACCCAGCTGTTATTCTCCCGCAGAATTTTGACATGTTCATCAGCCACTACAGCAGCGTCAGCACTCCCCCCTGTGTGCACGTTTACAAGCTCAGCGGTCCAGACGACGACCCCCTTCATAAGCAGCCGAAATTCTGGGCCAGCATGATGGAGGCAGCCAGTGAGTTTCTCTGTTTCTCTTGCTCCCAACCCATGCTGAGTTTCTCGAAGGCCGTGCCGAAAACTAGGGCTGAGCTCGGATATTCGGCGGTGGTTTGGGTGTTAAAGGAGTCTGACCGAATCTGCCCTTGTGGCCTGCAAATGATCAAATACGCCTTTCCACATTTTGCTTGTGTGCCCTCTGTTTGTGACTCCCGGGAACCACTATATTATGCCCCTGTGAAGCAACCTCTTACCTCCCTACTCTTCAGAAACTGTTCTCTTCCTACTCAGAGATAATGACGCAAAAATGACATTGGGTGTAATGTTCCCTTTAAGCTGTGGAGTCTTGTGAGCAAAAATTCTACTTTCTGAGCTACCGGCATTAAAGTTGTGAGCCAGCGATTTGGCTGCTGCATAAATTAATTTGCTCTGGGGTCATCCTTCCTGAGCTAAGACAAAAATGTGTGAGCCCGGAGGCTAAGAAACTGTGAGGTGGCTCACACTAACTCAGCTTAGAGGGAGCACTGGGGTGTGGCTAAATATGTATCTGTCCTTTTAACTCTTGGTTCCAAATAGAATATCTAGAATTTTTTTGCTGCTCAAGATTATATTTCTATGAGCTTCTAGGGTTGAAAAGGAAAGGGGTCTTTGGGGAGTGCAGCGGCCATTGACTTTTCCCTGGTGTGCGCTCTCTCTGTCTCTCTCTCTCCACCCCCCTTCCCTCCCCCTCCTGCCAGTTTGCCCTCCCAACTGATGGGTTGTTGCATTGGCTCAGCCACTACCTTATTCAGTTCTGTCTCCTCTTTTTAAAAACGGGGGAACAAGTCACATGGCTGCTAAAGCTTGGCTACATGATGATAAGGTTATGGAGGGCAAACAGGGCTGATGTCATCACGTAGCCAAAGCTACGTTGTCCGAATTTAGAATCTGTTAGCCCTTGTGCTGTTAAAACTTGTTAGCCTATGTGCTTTACGGATGTTGGATAAGATTGATATCACAGCTAAACACTATAAGACAACCAGAGAACTGAATTTGGTTGAAAAAGAGTTGTCTCGAAACGAACAACCACTCGAGATGTTCGTATCGCTCACCTTCCGTATTTGACGTCCTGTGTTCTGAAAACATAGAAATTATAAACATCATCAAGCGTCAATTCTGTACTAGTTATTATTGTCTATTCATTGTGATTTGTGAACTCACAGCAATTTTTCATCATTATTATTGTACTGCTAAAGCTTGGCTACATGATGATAAGGTTATGGAGGGCAAACAGGGCTGATGTCATCACGTAGCCAAAGCTCACTAGCTATGAGGTCATCTCACCATTTACAGGAAGAGGGGGGACAGTTTTTTTGAGAAAAGGGTGGCACTTGCACAAAGTTGTTCACACAGCCACTGCCAAAGTGTAGTGGGGAATGGCTGTAGAAGGGCAAGGGAGTCAGGGTAGAAAGTATAGCTGCCCTAAATGTGGAAGGCGTAACAACGGAGAGCATCACACAGGAAAAAATAGGAAAAAAGATAAGGAACAACTGTGAAACAATAACTAAGCAATGTAAACAACTATAGTAACATCAGCTTATACCACAGAAAAACCATCCATAGGTTGGTTTACTTTCTAGAAGGACCCTTAGTAAGGTGCAACACTCAATTCAATCATAGTCCAATAAAGGTACAACGAAAATTCAAGTCAACTGATATTTAAAGTGCCCTGAGCCACCAGCTAGTCCATTCATAATATGTAAGCTTCCAATAGAGCCTTTTCCAAATATTCCAACTTAAAATGTAGAGATGTGATGAATATCAAATGGTTTATTTGCAGGAGGACAATGTGCAATTTCAGGGGCACTCCCTAACGAATTCTGCCGGCCTCTGAGTTTGTTTCCGTCACTGCTTTATCGAAGACGGAACAGAATGTCTTTCTAGGCATCCATTTCTTGCCACATCTCACAAAATTTCATTTACATCTGCTTACAGGTACAAAGGGAACTTTGTGAGATTGGATAGTTGGTGGCACAGAGCTCTTTAGATATCAGTAAACTTTAATTTTCGTTGTACCTTTATTGGACTATGATTGAATTGACTGTTGCACTTTACTAAGAGTCTTTCTATTGAACCTGTGGATGATTTTTCTGTGGTCTAAGTTGAGGTTAATACAGTTGTTTACGTTGCTTAGTTACCGTTTCACGGTTGTTCCTTATCTTTGTTTCTGAATGTGGAAGGAGCACTTTTACCCCTTGTCATGCCCGATGTAAAAGGAAGGAGCTGTGGCTCAGTGGAAGAGCCTCTGCTTTGCACGCAGAAGGTGGGGGAAAGTTACTTTTTCCCCACCATAGAGAACAATAGAAGGGATGGGGACAACCTGTTTGGGGCCCGTAGAATTGGACCCCCTGGTCCAATGTTCTTGAAACTTGGTGGGTATCTTGGGGAGAGGCTCCAGCAGCTACCCTGCGAGTTTGGAGCCTCTCCCTCAAACCCCCTCCCCCCAGCCCCCAGAATATACCCTATGTTTTCGCCGTTGACTTCAATGGCCCATAGGATACAATGGGGGCGAATTTCGCCGAAATTCAGCTGCAATTCGGCGGCAGGCCGATTCAGATCAGAGAATCTCAATCGGCCGGCAGCAGCCCGAAAGGGGCCCGAATGGGCCATTTTCGGGAATGCATTCGGTTCAGACTAACCAAATGTACATCCCTACTTGGAACCTCCCTTCAAAATTCTGAAGCATTTCACCCCTATGCCATTTCTATGAGAAGGAAAGGGAACTGAGCAGGGGCTTGGACTGGATGACCTCTAAAGTACCTTCTGGCTCCGTGATGCATCTTCATTGGCCAGCTGTGTTGCACGAGGGTGCTGGCTTTTGATGGACCTCTGGGCTTTTCTGGGTTCTGAGGCCAACTTGTAATTTTTCTGTCTCCTGTTTGGACGGAGTGGGGCTTAATTTTCTTTTCTTTTTTTTAATATTAAATTAAATAAATATTCTAGGAAGGTTCTCTCTTCTCTCTCCCCCCCCCTTTCTCCCCGCCGGGGGGGATTTTCTTGCAGGCTGTCCTGCCGATTACATCCCCCCTGAGATCTTTCACTTCCGCACCCAGTCCGATGTCGAGCTTTACGGGATGGTGTACAAGCCCCACAACCTCCAGCCCGGGAAGAAGCATCCCACCGTGCTCTTTGTGTACGGAGGACCTCAGGTAGAGTCCCGAGACCAGGCTGCGGGGGTGGGGTGGGGGTGAGACTCTCCTAAACAAATGCCGGGTTCGCTATATGCTGCCAGAAGATGTAGCAATCATACGTTAGCCAGGCAGCGATGGTGCCTGCGTCAGATGCTTAAGGAAACCAGAGTTGTCTGGCGCTGCCGTGGCATTTGACGGTGTGGGACACAAGGGTGTCCTTGAATGTGCGCCCTTGACTGGGGGGTGGGGATAGGAGAGGGGTTGTCAAGTCATAGCCGACTTCCGGCGACCCTCTCAATGGGTTTTCGAGGCAAGAGACCTTCCGAGGCGGCTGGCCATTGCCTGCCTCTGCGTAGCAGCCCGAGACTTCCTTGGTGGTCTCCCATCCAAGTAGTAACCTGGGTCGACCCTGCTTAGCTTCCGAGGTCTAGCCGGGGACCATCCGGGTCAGGGCAACTGTGGGGGTGGGACAGCTAACCCCTGGCAGCTGCCCACATGCCTGTAGGTGCGCATGCATTCTCTCTCTCTGCAATTTAGGTGTGCCCATAGATGTTTTCAGAGCAATGGTCTCCACGCTGTAGCTCTCAGCGCTCCACCTGCCAAGTTGCAAGTGGGTTCCCTTTTTTTTTGGCTGCTTTTGGGAAGGGCCTGCCGCTCACGTACATGCGTGCGGAGCAAAGGTATTGCACCACC